GTGTCTCCTTAAAGCAGAGAACCAATCGCCTCATTTGGGGAGGGGTGTTGTAGGCGGGGGGACTCAGCCTAGAACCAAAATCCCTCACAAGTTATACCAGGGCAATAACCTTCCCTAGGTACATGTAACATTCTATCCACAGGTAGATTAATATGCAGAATCATCTGCTGAACGTCTAAATATCAAACATGCCATATTTGACTATTCCACCTAGAACTATATGGCTTTCTGCTCTCCTGTAGACTTCCACTAAGGGTGTAAGATATCAGATGACTCGCATTAAACTGAGCTATCCGAATATATGTGTCAGGGATCCCCTCGATCCCCGCCGCGATGGTCCCGGTGCAGGCGCAGTGTGCCGCCCTGTGCAGGGACTCGAGCACTAGGTCCGGGCCGGCCGTGTTCGTTCGAGTTCGCGCATGCGCAGTAGAAGCCGCAGCCACCCGCTGGGCACCAATGGCAGCGCAGGGCGGGATATTTAAACGACCCTGAGCTGTCATTCAGTGCCTTCTGGTCTTACCTGTATCCTGTATCTGCGAACCTGTGAATTGTAAGTTGCTGACCCGGATTGTGCCTTGACCTTGCTGTATTTCTCCTGCCCTGACCTTTGCTTTGCCTGACCTCTCTCCTGAATGCCCCCTATTGGATTTGACCTGCTGTTGCTGACCTGGCGTGTGACCCGACCATTCTATGCCCGCTGCCTTGTACCTTGTCGTCCTCTCTGTTACCGACCCGGCCCGTCTGACCTTGCTCATCCATCCATCCATCCCGTGCAGTGGGGTCTGCTGACCTCCTCATATCAGACTCTTCCCCGTGGGAGCCCTTGGCGCATACCACTACCACTGACGGACGCACCCAGTAGCCACGACCTGGTCTCAGGGGGCTCCAAGTCCATCCCCACCATCAGGGGCCTGGTGAACAAGCACCCTGGGACTTAGACTCCGTGCGCTGGGGACGCCTATTCAGTGGAGAGCTAGTGGTACCGCCAGGCGGTCCCTTACAATATGCTTTATGTTTATGTAATTATTTCCTACCTTAAGATATAAAATTATATGGAAAAGTGGGTTAAATGTGAGGTCTGTTTTCCGGCTAGCTGGAATGCCTTTGAAGCCCAGTGAAGGACTGGTTTATGGTTTTACGATTATTTCAGATTGAGAAGCTAACAGACACCCAAGCACCAGCTAATTTGGGATTTATAGCCATGAAGCTCTCCAGCTGGGGCCTGATGCCTTTTGAACTCAGCATACACACACAGACCACATTCCTGAGGAGGGGGATTGGAGGGAGAGAGATACAAGATGGAGGGTCTTGAGCAAGATGGATGACCGCGTCCATCTCTGCACGTACGATTGCTACAAATGGCATCCCAGTCTTAGTCCGTAGGGTTCAATATTGAGTTGGCCCACCCTTTGCAGCTATAACAGCTTTAACTCTTCTGGGAAGGCTGTCCACAAGCTTTAGGAGTGTGTCTATGGGAATGTCTGACCATTCTTCCAGAAACGCATTTCTGATGTAAGGCACTGATGTAGGATGAGAATGCCTGGCTCGCAGTCTCTACTCTAATTCATCCCAAAGGTGTTCTATTGGGTTGAGGTCAAGACTCTGTGCAGGCCAGTCACATTCCTCCATCCCAAACTCGCTCATCCATGTCTTTATGGACCTTGCTTTGTGCAATGGTGCGCAGTGATGTTGGAATAGGAAGTAGCCATCCCCAAACTGTTCTCACAAAGTTGGGAGCATGAAATTGTCCAAAATGTCTTGGTATGCTGACACCTTAAGAGTTCCCTTCACTGGAACTAAGGGGCCAAGCCCAACCCCTGAAAAACAACCCCACACCATAATCCCCCCTCCTCCAAATTTTACACCTGGCACAATGCAGTCAGGTAAGTACTGTTCTCCTGGCAACCAACAAACCCAGACATGTCCATTGTATTGCCAAAGAAGTTGTCAGGAATGGACTTGCCAATAGTGGTGGGACTCACCTGCCTTGTGGGCTGCAGTACCAGGGCTGGCCAGCGGGTGCTCTCAACAACCAGAGGTTCACTTCGGCAATTAGCCATCACCTGGGGCTGATTGCAGGTGGTGTATTTAAGGGATGGCCAGACCCGCAGTCTGTGCCTTGGTGTGTGTTTTTTTCCATGGGCCCCTGTATCTTGTAACCTGCATTCCTGTTCCTGTTTCTGCCTGACTTGTTGCCGACCCTGCCTGATCCTGACCTCTGCTGACTTCTCCTGTTTGATCCCTGGCTTGTGACCCTGACCATTCTCTGCCTGACCCCCTGTACCTACCTGTCCGTTAGTTGCTGTACCCGCCTCGTGACCTGACTACTCTCCGCCTGCTCCTCCTGTACCTACCTGCCCGATGGTTATCGACCCGGCCTGCCTGACTACGCTGTGCTCTATATGTGTATGTACCTGTGTATCTATATCAGTTTAGGTTTGGGTTTGTTTCACCTTGTTGTATGTATTTGTGTTAGCTTGGGGTTTGGTGCACTGCGTTTATATTTGTATTGTTAGTCTTAATAAATTGTCTTATTTATACCATATCTGAAGCTTGCGTTTCCCTGTGTCAGTCTACACACACTTCTGGTCACACCCGCATCCCTGACAGAAGTGTGATTCATGATTCCAGAGAACATGTCTCCTCTGCTCTAGAGTCCAGTGGGGGCATGCTTTACACCACTGCATCCGCCGCTTTGCATTGCACTTGGTGATGTAAGGCTTGGATGCAGCTGCTCAGCCATGGAAACCCATTCCATGAAGCTCTCTATGCACTGTTGTGCTAATCTGAAGGACACACGTAGTTTGGAGGTCTTTAGCTACTGACTGCAGACAGTTGACAACTTCTGCCCACTGTGCGCTTCAGCATGCGCTCACCCCGCTCTGTCATTTTACGTGGCCTACAACTTCATGGCTGAGTTGCTGTTGTTCCCAGTTTCTTCCACTTTGTTATAATACCACTAACAGTTGACCGTGGAATATTTAGTAGCAAGGAAATTTCACATATGGACTTATTGCACAGGTAGCAACCTATCCCAGTACCACGCTTGAATTCACTGAGCTCCTGAGAGTGACCCATTCTTTCACAAATGTTTGTAGAAGCCGTCTGCATGCCTAGGTGCTTGATTGTATAGACCTGTGGCCATGGAGGTGATTGGAACACCTGAATCTGATGATTTGGAGGGGTGTCCCAATACTTTTGGCAATATAGTATGTATTTTAAATAAATATACAGTTGTGTTCAAAATAATAGCAGTGTGTTGAAAAAAGTGAATAAAGCTCAAAATCCTTCTAATAGCTTTTATTTCCATATACACAAATGCATTGGGAACACTACACATTCTATTCCAAATCAAAACATGAAGAAAAATATATCAAATTTGTGTTGTTCCTCTAAAAAAATGTAAGAAATGTGAATATTAGACTAAAAAAATAGCATTGTTTGTATTCTTCTTTACAAACTCATTCACTATATAAACTGAAAAATGTTTGAAGATTTTGCTTTCCTTTGAATCACTTAATTAATATTTAGTTGTATAAGCACTGTTTCTGAGAACTGCTGTACATCTGTGTTGCACGGAGTCAACCAACTTCTGGCACCTGTGAACAGGTATTCCAGGCCAGGATGATTGGACTACATTCCACAGTTCTTCTCTATTTCTTGGTTTTGCCTCAGAAACTGCATTTTTGATGTCACCCCACAAGTTTTCTATTGGATTAAGATCCGGGGATTGGGCTGGCCACTCCATAACGTCAATCTTGTTGGTCTGGAACCAAGATGTTGCACGTTTACTAGTGTGTTTGGGGTCGTTGTCTTGTTGGAACACCCATTTCAAGGGCATTTCCTCTTCAGCATAAGGCAGCATGAGCTCTTCAAGTATTCTGATGTATTCAAACTGATCCATGATCCCTGGTATGCGATAAATAGGCCCAACACCGTAGTATGAGAAACATCCCCATATCATGATGCTTGCACAACCATGCTTCACTGTCTTCACAGTGTACTGTGGCTTGAATTCAGTGTTTGGGGGTCGTCTGAGAAACTGTCTCCAGCCACTAGACCCAAAAAGAACAATCTTACTTTCATCAGTCCACAAAATGTTGCGCCATTTCTCTTTAGGCCAGTCAATGTGCTCTTTGGCAAATTGTAACCTCTTCAGCTTGTCATTTTTTCAACAGTGGGACTTTGCGGGGGCTTCTTGCAGATAGCTTGGCTTCACATAGGCGTCTTCTAATTGTAACAGTACTCACAGGTAACTTTTAGACCTTCTTTGATCTTCCTGGAGCCGATTGTTGGCTGAGTCCTTGCCATTTTGGCTATTCTTCTATCCATTCGAATGGTAGTTTTTTTTTGCTTTCTTCCACATCTTTCAGGTTTTGGTTGCCATTTTAAAGCATTTGCAATCATTTTAGCTGAGCAGCCTATCATTTTCTGCACTTCTTTATATGTTTTCCCCTCTCCAATCAACTTTTTAATCAAGGTACGCTGTTTTTCTGAACAATGTCTGGAACGGCCCATTTTCCTCAGAACTTCAGAGAGAAATGCACTGTAAGCAGCATGTACAACATTTGCTGCCTTCCTTCCTTAACCGCTTACCTACAGGGCACTTATACCCCCTTCCTGCCCAGGCCAATTTCCAGCTCTCAGCACTGTCACACTTTGAATAACAATTGTGTGGTCATGCAACACTGTACCCAAATGAAATTTTTATCATTTTTTTGTGATAGATAGAGCTTTATTTTGGTGGTATTTAATCACCTCTGGGTTGTTTATTTTTTCTTAAACAAACCAAAAACCACTGAAAATTTTGAAAAAAAAGTTTTTTCTTAGTTTTTGTTATAAAATTTTGTAAATAAGTGATTTTTCTCCTTCACTGATGTGCGCTAATGAGGCTGTAGTGATGGGCACTGATAAGATGCACTGATGGACACTGATAGGTGGCACTGATGAGGAGGCACTGATGGCACTGAATTGACAGGCATCACTGATAGGCACTGAAAGGCAGCACTGATATATGGCACTGATATAGGCGGCAATGACAGGCGGCACTGACTGGCACTGTTAGCTGGCACTGACTGGCACTGGTAGGTGGCACTGACTAGCACTGATAGGCGGCACTGATGCGCACTGATAGGCAGCACTGATTGGCAGCAATGATAGGTGGCACTGATTGGCATTGATAGGTGGCACTGACTGGCACTGATGGGTGACACTGAAGGGCAGCTCAGATGGGCACTGATATGTGGCATTGATGTGCACTTGTAGGCACTGATATGTGGCATTGATGTGGCACTGATGGGCACTGGCACTGTTCAGCACTGACAGCTGGCACTGATGGACACTGACAGGTGGCACTTCTGGGGCCACACTGATCATCAGTGCCCTGATGATCAGTGTACATGTCCCCTCCGCGGAATGCCGGCTCTCCTCTCGAGCTGTCAGCGTGACAGCTCGAGCGGAGAGAAATGCCGATAACCGGCATTTCCCTGTTTACATGTGATCAGCTGTGATTGGACACAGCTGATCACATGACCGAGCCGACATCTTCAACTCTTTCCGTGGAACGGTGATCCGCTGTGTCCGAGGGACACAGAGCACCGCCGATCGCCGCGCTGCACGCTCCCTGAGTTGCGCATGCGCGGTGAGAATGGAAGGCCATCAAAAGACGGCCTATCAGAACGAGAGAACCACCTTGCGCCCGTCATTGGACTATATGGCGGGCGGGAGGTGGTTAAATAAAGGCAATAACTGCCACCTGTTTTTCAAAGAATGAATGACCTCACTAATAGAACTCCACACTGCTATTATTTTGAACATGCCCCTTTCAATTAGTGATTCAATTACACAGAATCAGGAGCATGCATGTCATGACTGTTGGGTCTGTTGGATTTCTATTACTCTACTACACCTGCTAGTAAATTATTTGCCACGTAGAAATATCATTTCTACTAAAAACAGTGATTGATCAGGTTAGTGATGTCTGACTGCTATTATTTTGAACACAACTGTATATATATATATACATACAGTGGATATAAAAAGTCTGCACATCCCTGTTAAAATGTCAGGTTTCTGTGATATATAAAATGAGACAAAGTTAAATCATTTCAGAACTTTTTCCACCTTTAATGTGACCTATAAACTGTTTTTCATTTGAGTTGAACAAACTAAAATAATGTGGTTGTATGTTTACTTCCCCCCCCCCCCCAAAAGATTTCAGTTTTTTATAAGTGTGCACGCCCTCTTATAACTGGAGAAGTAGCTATGTTCAGAATTAAGCAAATCACATTCAAAATCATGTTAAATAGGAGTCAGTACACACCTGCAATCATGTGCGCTGTGTGGCGCGCTCCTATCACAAAGACAGGTACGCAAATATGTGGCCCCATGGAAAAAAGCCCAGTTCTGTGAGGCCGCATATTTGTGTTAGGTCAGCGTGAAGGGGTTAAGGATGTGCACACTTATGCAACCATATTATTTTAGTTTTTTATTTTTACTTCCCTCTACCTAAAAGATTTCAGTTTGTTGTTCAACAGAACTATACAGTTTATAGGTTACAGTAAAGGTGGAAAAAGTTCTCAAATTATATGTCTTTGTCTCATTTTTTTTACATCACAGAAACCCGACATTTTAACAGAGGTGTGTAGACTTTCTATATCCACTGCGTATATATATATATATATATATATATATATATATATATATATATATACACACACCCACTGACCTTGGATATACCTGTTCAATTGCTTGGTAACACCACAGATTGCTTATCAGCCAATCACATGGCAGCAACTCACTGCATTTAGGCATCTAGACATAGTGAAGATGATTTGCTGACGTTCAAACCGAGCAGCAGGATGGGGAAGAAAGGAGATTTAAGTGCTTTTGAACGTGGCATGGTTGTTAGTGCCAGTCAGGCTGGTCTGAGTCAAAAACTGCTGATCTACTGGGATTTTCACACACAACCATTTCTAGGGTTTACAGAGAATGGTCCTAAAAAAGGGAAATATCCAGTGAGCGGCAGTTGTGTGAACAAAAATGCTTTGTTGATGTTGGAGGTCAGAGGAGAACGGGCAGATTGGTTCGAGATGATAGAAAGGCAACAGTAACTCAAATAACCACTCATTACAAGCAAGGTATCCAGAATACCATCTCTGAATGCACAACACATCGAACCTTGAAGCAGATGGGCTACAGCAGCAGAAGACCACACCGGGCGTCACCCCTGCCAGCTAACAACAGGAAACAGAGGCTACAATTCACACAGACTCACCAAAGTTGGACAGTAGAAGATTGGAAAAACGTTGCCTGGTCAAATAAGTCTTGATTTTAGCTGCAACTTTCAGATGGTAGGGTCAGAATTTGGCATAAATAACATGAATGTGCTTAAGCTGATTCTAATTCCCCGTGTCTTTATTGAACACACCCAATAAACATTCACAGTGTTGGAGGAAAAAGTAAGTGGACCTTTGGTGCCAAAAGAAGGTTCCACCAGACCAGCTTTTAACTCCAAAGACTTCAAGAAAGGTCTTTTGGTAGGTCTGCATCAGACCTGCACAGGGGTGGCGCCTAGATAGGGGGACAGTAAAATCTGAATCCCAACACTTGCTGGGGGTTTTATACTTGTCCAACTACCGCACCTTTTTGCAAGGCATCCCACCTCAACTGTGTCCTGCTGAGCTGTGTCCTGGGAATGAAGGCAACCATACACATTGCCTTACATGACAGACGACATACTGTGTAGCTTGGGATCTCCCCCTCTGGACTATGTAGCCCATAACCCACGTACAGGCTCGCAGTGCAGGCATTTCAGTGGAGTGTACAGCACCAGGAGGAATACTGTATATCCCCTCTCCACCCTCATCCTGCAATATATCTCCGGAGTGGGGTGGTCCATGATACCTGGGCACTCCTCGGCTTCTGCATAGATGCCAAGTAGTACCTGTGCAAGGCAGCCACATGTGAGCAGGCGCAAACCCTCCCAGTCTGCCTTCAGTGTGCACTGATGCCTAACCAGGTACACACTAGATCGGAAAAAAGATGGGGGGAAAAGTACTGGTACAAGTGTGCTGGGAAGGTGATTGAAAGCATAGGTGTGCTGGATCGGGGGGATTGGAAGCATAGGTGTGCTGGATGGGGTGAGCATGGTTGGAAGCATAGGTGTGCTGGATGGGGGGGGGGGTGTTGAAGGCATCAGTGCATTGATGGGGGAGGTGGATTGGAGGCACAGGTGTATTGGATGGGGGGAGATTGGAGGCATAGGTGTGCTGGATAAGGAGGGGAATTTGAGGTATAGAAGTGCTGTATGGGGGGGGGGGGGGGGGGCATTGGAGGCATAGGTGTGCTGGATAGGGAGGGGTATATTTGAGGCATGGAAGTGCTGGATGGGGGGGGATTGGAGGCATAGGTGTGCTGGATAGGAAGGGGAATTTGAGGCATAGAAGTGCTGGATGGGGGGGGGGGGGGGGATTGGAGGCATAGGTGTGCTGGATAGGGAGGGGAATTTGAGGCATAGAAGTGCTGGATGGGGGGGGGGATTGGAGGCATAGGTGTGCTGGATAGGGAGGGGAATTTGAGGCATAGAAGTGCTGGATGGGGGGGGGGGGGGGGGGGGGGGGGGGGGGAGGCATAGGTGTGCTGGATAGGTGCTGGATAGGGGAATTTGAGGCATAGAAGTGCTGGATGGGGGGGGGGGGGGGGAATTGGAAGCATAGGTGTGCTGGATAGGGAGGGGAATTTGAGGCATAGAAGTGCAGGATGGGGGGGGGGGGATTGGAGGCATAGGTGTGCTGGATAGGGAGAGGGAATTTGAGGCATAGAAGTGCTGGATTATGGGGGAATTGGAGGCATAGGTGTGCTGCTTGGGGGATATTGGTGTGCTGGATGGGAGACTGAAGGCATAGGTGTGCTGGATGGGCATTGGAGAATGAGGTTTGTTGAGCATATTGGTGACACAGTAGTAGGGGGAGCATCAGTGGAAGAGGTATGCTGGGAGGCATCTGTGAATGTTGGGAGAGCTTCACAGAAGTCCAAAAGGCTGTTAACCTCTGCAACGGAAGCTCAGATTAGAAGATGGGGCATCCCTGTACAGAAGTTTTCTCCAGGATCCAGCTGCTTGGGAACTTTCACTACTGGTAAGTAAGCTCACTAAAGCTATAGAGATTTTATTTTTTTTTTATACTTCATCCTTAACGATACACCTGTTTTTTGTAACCACACCCATATTAAAGGAATGCTCTAATTAAAGTTTATTCTCAGCCTATAGAGGCTGGCTGAACATGCAGCAACGAAGTATCCCTGGAAATGTTTTTTAAATGTTGGCAACTATGGGATTTGGATTTTTAAAATACCTGTCTTTCAGTCCCTAACCTCGCTGCACCAAGCCATATGTCATATGAGGGTGGGTTGCGTTGTGGATGGGAGAGGGGGAGGAGGGAGGACACTGAGGGGGGGCATCAAAATGCACCTTGTACTGGCCTTGGACCTGCACAACATTCAGGAGGAATTTTTGACCATTCCTCTTTACAAAACTGCTTCACCTCACACACATTTGAATGGTGTCTGATGTCTTGAGGTCATTCCACAGCATCTCCATCATACTTCACCATTGGGATTATGTTTTCATGTTGGTAAATTGTGCCCTTTTTGCGCCATACATAGTGCTGAGTATTCTTCCCACACATCCACTTTTATTTCATCAGTCCCCAAAACATTTTTCCAGTACTGTTGCAGTTTGCCAAGGTGCTCTTTGGCAAAATTCAGGTGGGCAACAATGTTTTTTTTCGGGGGGGGGCAGCGGCTTCCTCCATGGTGTTCTGCCATGGACACTCAAAGAGTTACATATGGTAGACTCATGAACAGGGATGTTTGCCAGTTTTAGTGATGTCTTCAAGCCTTTAGCCTTTACTTGTGGGTTCTTCTTTACATCATAGAGGATTCTGTGTTGTGCCTTGGGAGTAATCTTGGCTGGGTGTCCACTTCTAGGAAGAGTAGCCACAGTACTAAACTGTCTCTATTTAATTTATAGGCAATTCCTCGACTGATGGTTTTTTCCAAACACTTTGAGATTGCTTTTTATATCTCCTTACAGCCTTATGCAGACAGGTAGGTGCATGCAGCATTGATCCGATGCTGCATCCATCCTCCGCTGGCTCTGCACTGAGAACTAATTGATCAAACACCGCTGATCACTCAGTTCTCCCCTCCACTCTGAGAAGAGACCTGTGACTGTCAGTCATGGGTTCTCTGCTCTGCCCCTCCACTGATCAGTGAAGCACCAGGCTGAGGAGGGAGCGGCTGGCCTCCAATTACCCCTCCCCTTCCCAGCACACCTGTTACATACTGTTCTGTCTCTCCAATCTAAGCATTGATAGTGTGATCTCTGTAACTTACAATTGTGATGAGATAGTGATAACTTCAATCTCAGTTGGATACCACAGTCAGTGACTCAATCGATAAGACATCTTGTAGATCTTGTGAAGTTTATTCAATAAACTGAGAGAATCTTACAACAATGAACATTCGACAGGTCAAAAGATCATGTTTCCTGCTCCATGACATGAGGCTTGCTGCAATGCATTTCTGAGAATGGGGGAG